CCAACGGATGGTCTGCGTGGATGATGGTGGACTCTCATTTTCTCCATCTGAGGGCCTGGGGAAGAGCAATCGGTTCTACTCTCTGGGCTTGAGGTGTCTGGCCTGGGCCCAAATCACTTCAGCTAAAGTAGCCCCCGCATACCTGGTTTACCTTTCATCTTGTGATAGTCACGGATGAGTGCCTCTAGCTCCCCAGCAGGCAAGAGGGTAGGAGGACTGAAGGTGGTGAGCATCTCAGATCAGACTCACGGGTGAGCCAGGAGCAGGGCCTGCCTGGTATGCACAGTCATCAGACAGACAGTGTTCTGGTGCTCCTCAGAGGAGGGCCTCGGCTGTGCCGCGGGGTGCCGTGAGTGTAAGATCTGGACCCAGAGTCAACGTGTTTGCTTTCTATAAACTAGCAGCAGGTGCCACAGCTCTTGGACAGGTGGCACCATCCTGTGGCCGCAGGGCCCAATCATTTCAATAGGTGTGTCACAAGGCGTTTCTTAACCCCAAAGTTTGTGTTAAAAGCCCCTTTGTCTTTTGTTTAGTCTCTGATTGAGGGCTTCATGCCCCTCCCCTTGTGCTGGTGCATAGAGGCTATGCTGGTTCCACAGACGCTGGTGTCCAGAGGCAGCAGGACCCAGCTGGACCTGTCTCAGACTCTCAGACCTACCTTTTAGGAGTCTTTGGAGTTGGGATCTGAAGAATGGCAGCCATCCTACTCTGAGACAGGCTCCTTTTGCCTCCCCTCAGCTAGTGACCAAGATAGGCAGCCTCTGATGGACAAAGCTAGGCTTTCTTAGTTGACATTCTGTAGCCCACAGTCTGCAGCTCTGGCAGCTGTCCCCTCGGGAACTGTTTTCCCAGGAAACCTCTGACGGAAAGGCAGGAATCAGCATTCCTGTCTTTAAGTCCTGGGAGTCTGGTCCAGGTATGTTGCTCACTGTGACCCCCTGCTGAGACTTTAAAATAAAGATGAGTTGACTCACCTGCCAATGGGCAGACGAAGAACACATCTTACAGCTCCAAGACACTGTACACCTGTTCCTCTGGAAGAATCAGACTCATGAGAATCAGAGGGTCCCAGATTTCTTCACAGGCAGGAGAGGTATGTTTCAGGGTAACTGGCAGGGCACCAGGATGCCTGTCTTGTCAAGCTAGGCAATATGGACTGCAATCTCCCCTTTTGTTTCCAGGGTCATTGGGTATTGTTAATCTGAATGGAGGGAGCTGAACTGGTTAGTTGAACAATTATAGGAGCTTGGGGTTGAGCCAGTCCCGGAAGGCTGGTTACTTCTGACAGAGGGTGAGACCCCAAATTTTTTCTGGGTGTCTGTAAGAATAACTGCATCTCATCACCAAATATGGTGACAGTGGCTTTCAGTTTATGCAAAACATCTCGTCCTAATCAGTTCTCCATCGTCAAACACTCTTTAAGCTGCCTGCAGCAACTGGGACATACCTTTACATTTTAATTTTTCCCCTAATATCTTAGGCCAATCGGGTAATAAAGGAAATCTTCTTAGCATCTGTCTTTAAGCTTTTAAAAAGGAGCAGTACAGCAGTGCTTTAAATAAATCTAATAATTGATCTTTTCTATCTTATTCTGCTTTATAATGACCCCCTGGAGCACATCTTCAGGGTCCTGGAATGGTGTCTGTGTTTAAATAGCAGGCAAGCTGGCACACCTTTAATCCTGGCACCTGGGAAGTAGAGGCAGGCACATTTCTGTGAGTCTGTGAATACCTTGGTCTGCAAAGCAAGCTCCAGGCCAACCACGGCTACAGAGTAAGACCCAGTCTCTAAAAACAAAAACAAACAAAAAAAAAAGACAAAGCACTTTGATCAAGTATTAGCTTGATCAAGTATTAGCAGTTTGATCCACCCATGAATGGACCTTCATTTTAGCTATAGAATCTCCTTTGAGGGCTGAAAACTTTCGAGGTTTTGGCACCAGGTTTCAACCTCTTTCTCCAGACAGGAGACTCGGTACTAGTGGAAGAAGGCCAGATGAGTGGTTACTGCTGTAAGCTGCTGTGACTCCAGGATGTGGGCCTGTAGAAGAGGAAATGATTCAAGGGTCAAGCACTTTAACATCGTTTATTAGAAAGAGAAGGGGGTGGTGGCTTGCGCAGTGGCTCAAGGTAGGAAGCTCTGGCTGCTCTTCCAGAGGAGCCAGGTTCAATATCCAGTACAGCACCCACACGGCAGATCACTGTAGAGAGCTTCTGTATTGTATTGCCTATCAATAAAAAACCTATGGCCAGCACATGGATAGGCAAAGGCAGGTGGAGCTCTGTGAATTTGAGGGCAGCCTGGTCTACAAAGTGGGTCTACTAAAGCCAAAGCTACACGGAGAACCCCTGTCTTGAAAAAAACAAAACAAAGAAATAAACAAAATACCTATGGCCTGTAGGAAAGGGTAGAGTAGAAGGTGGGACATCCAGCAGGCAGAAAGGATTCTGGAATAGAGCTAGGCTACAAAGATTCTCCTGGAGAAGAGGTGAGGAGGACACATGCATGGTACCTGAGCACAGGTAGCCAGCCATGTGGAAGAATTTAGATTAGAATAAAGGGTTATTTTAAGTTAGGAACCTGGTGGAGTCTAGCTATGTGGCCTATGTATTTGTAACTACATTTTGAGTCAGGAGTCATTATTCTGGGAGCTTGGGCCTAGGAGGGAAAAACCACAACAGCTCAGAGACCTCTGTAATTCCAGTTCCCATGCCCTGTCTGGTCTTTGCAGGTACCAGGCATGCATGTGACAGAGATATACATGCCAACCACACACACACACACACACACACACACACACACACGTAGCCTCCATTTGCTACTTTGTGGGTTCTTTTACCCTCGTTCACCCTTCCCCATTGTTAACCTCCTGACACTAGAATGAAAAGAAAAAGGATGAAGGGCAAAGGGGGACCTTTATTGTCAGACTGCTTCCTACTGACTAGAGGTGTTGAGTTCTGAGTTCTTTTGGGCAAGTCTGATCTTTGCCGTCAGGATATCTTCTTTCTTGTTCTCCTTTCTTTGTTTACTACTACTTGACAAACCACAAGCAACAGCAGCCAACCACCAACCAGCCACCAGCAGCAACCCTGCCTCTCCAGGACCTAGCATTCTGAAAAGTTCCCAGACTTCCAAATGTCGCACATTTGCAGAAACTATCTGCAGCTGGCAAAATCAGGGAGGCAGAGGCAGGTGGATCGCAGTGAGTTCGAGGCCAGCCTAGTCTAAGGAGTGAGTTCCAGGACAGCCAAAATTACAGAGAAACCCTGTCTGGAAACACCAAACCACACCAAACCAAAAACAAAAAAACAAACTTGTCTTTTCCTGGTGTCCAAACTTGACTTTTCCCCAGCACCAGAGCTCTCTCATGAGCTAGTATAATTAACTATCGAAGGGTCACCAAGCAAAGGGGCTTTGAACCATGGGCTACTTTCAATCCAGTCAGGGGGACACTAGACAGAATGTTGGAGTGAGGCCCTCCTGGGACCAGTCCCTAACTGCCTTAACTTCTCTGTCTCCTTTCATTCCCGGAGAGAGGTAAATTCCAACTTCTTGGGGTCCATTGTGTCACTAGCCTGAGAGACAAAGTGAAGGTATATTTAAATGCCTTTTCCCTGGGGCTTGCAGAGGCGGTCCAGCCCTTTAGAACACTTGTCACTCTGCACTCAGTTTCAGTTCCAGAGCTCAGACATCAGCTCACAATCACTGGTGAATGCCAGTTCTAGGGGCTATGGTATCTTCTTCTGACCTTGTACATACGTGTAGGCAAACACTCAGACGCATAGATCTAAAAAACAAAAAAGAAAAGAAAAAAAAAGAAAGAGAATCTTCCCTGCCCGGCAAGCAGGAACAGTAAAGCAGAGTTCTCAACCTATGGGTCATGACCCACAAATCATATATTTACATTGCAATTCAAAACAGCAGCAAAAACACACCTATAAAGCAGCAAAGAAAATTATTTTATAGTTGGGGTCAACACAACATGAAAAACTGTATTAAAGGGTCACAGGAAGGCTGAGAATCATTGTAAAACCTTTTATACTATTCTATATTCTTCTGCTACCTCCAAACTTCAATTTTCAGATAAGCTACATGAACTGCTCCCCACAAAGGTGTGGCCATAGGGATTGGATTTGTTTTGTTTTGTTCGAGATAGGGTTTCTCTGTGTAGCATGGCTGTCCTTGACAACCAGGTTGGCCTTGAACTCACAGAGATCGGCCTACCTCTGCCTTCCTGGGTACTGGAATTACATGCGTGGGTCACCGAGCCCCGCTGATGGGTTTGTGTAGGTTCTTTGCCTGGCTGTATGTCTGATCACTGTGAGCGTGAGTGTGACCGGTGCTACAAAAGCCACATAAAGCTGGTGGAGCCTCCAGGAGTTACAAACAGTTGTGAGCAACAATATGGGTGCTGGGAATCGAACTGTGGTCCTCTGGAAGAGCAGCCAGTGCTCTGGACCAGTGAGCCATCTCTCCAACTACTATAGAAATGTTTTTTGGTTTTTGCCTTGTTTGTTTTTTAAATAAGAAACATAGCTGGAAGCGGTGGTGCACGCCTGTAATCCCAGCACTCAGGGAAGACAGCGCCAGGAGGATCTCTGTTGAGTTCAAGACCAGCCTAGTCTACTAAATGAGTCCAGGACAGCTCGAAACGAACAAGCAGCAAGCAAGCAAACAGAAACAAGAAGTCAAGAAAGCAGCATAGATCTGTAGTCTAAAGTAAAGGGGACCCAACAAGGACAGAGCGGGGACACAGAAACTGGCACCAGAAGGCGTGCGTAGTGAGCGGGGCACTTTAAAGGAGGCAGGCACAGCTGGGCACTCCCGTTCTCTCGTGGCCACAGTGGCGAGCCAAAGGACTGCTGTAGCTTGCGGGCCATTTTTCCCATTCCTCCTCTTTCTCATGCGGTTCCTGGAAGTCCTGCAATCTCTGGGAGTTGCTCAAAAGTTTCCGAGCCCCACCTTCTTCATCACCATGCACAGCACCACAGAAAGCCTTTGCCTCCAAGAGGCAACCAAAGGAGGCTTGGAAGCTGCCATCCCGCTGGATGGTCCCATATAAATGCTTCGACTTTTCTCTTTGTGGTCCTAGGTGACATAAGACTGGATTCGAACGCAAAACTGGACCACGGTGCAACCACGCTGGGTACCTTAATACCTCTCAGATCTCGGCGTACCCTTCTCTGAAGTACAGAAGGGGTCTCAAGACACCCGCACAGCCTTCACTACCTACCACTTCAGCCGAGCTGGGGCCCCCTACCCGGAAGGTCCGGCCCACCCGAGCCCCCCGTCGGTCGTGCTCGCAGCGAGCGGTGCATTGTGGGGCTTGTAGTGTGGCGGGGTCGCGCGGGTGGGCGCGGCCACAGCACCATCTTCCGAGGCAGGCCAGTCCGTCTTGCGCCCGGCCCAGCCACGCTCCCTGGCCAAATGGCGCCGCGGCCCCTGGGCCCGTTGGTGCTGGCCCTGGGTGGCGCGGCGGCCGTGCTCGGCTCGGTGCTCTTTATCCTCTGGAAAGCTTACTTCGGCCGCGGCCGGGAGCGGCGCTGGGACCGGGGCGAGGCCTGGTGGGGCGCGGAAGCCGCCCGCCTCCCTCAGTGGGACGAGTGGGAGGTGAGTAGGGCGTGCACGCGCGAGGGCCGGGACCACGCGGGCCGGGGCGGCGGGGTTCTGTAGTCCCCAGGGTGCGGCGGGAGCCAGCCTGGCACCTGCGCAGTGGCGCCGCCGCGGGGTGGGGTGGGGGGAATGCCAGGCAGAGCCCTCAGGCCAGGGGAGGCTAGCCCTGAGATCGTGGGATTGTCTTGGGCTTACGGTGTGTGAGAGCCAAAGATTTGCGATGGGGAAGAGTGTGCCCGAGATCACCAGGAGTCAAAAAGAGAAGTGAGGTTTTTAAAAAACTTCAGGGCTCGAAAAGCAGCCCCTGCCCTCTGTTCCAGACCACAGCTACCTGCCATGCTCGGGAGGTGTGCATGGGCAACCGCCGAGCATTCCGTTGTCCCTAGGGAAGGGAGGGTCAGGAGGAAGGTTGGCGATTGCAGCCTTGACCTCTGCCCCGCAGCCCGAGCACGACGAAGATGAGCCGGCACTGGAGGGGCTGGAGCAGCGAGAAGTGCTCGTGCTGGGCTTGGATGGCTCTGGGAAAAGCACCTTTCTGCGCATGCTTTCTGGGAAGCCACCTCTGGAAGGCCACGTCCCCACCTGGGGCTTCAACTCCGTGAGGCTGCCCACCAAGAATTTCGAGGTGGACCTGTTAGAGAGTGAGCAAGAGACCCCCTTCTCCTCATCGTCACTGCTGGCCCTGGGCCCAGATTCCTTGGAGAAATCCATGAAATGCTTTTCTAAGCAGGACATTTCCCCTTTACGAAAGCCTTCCCGCTTCTCTTTAGGGCTCAGAATACAAAACATCCTGGCACTTCTGGTTCTTCCATATCCGGTGGTCCCCCTACCCTTCACCACACATGCCGTATACCGACAGACAGACAGACAAACAAACAGTTAAGGGTTCATATGCCAAGCACTTGACTAATAAAGTACCCCAAACAACTCCGTAAAAAGACAATCAACTAATCTGCATACTAGATACTTGTAGAACCGGTTCCCAACAAAGTAAATCATGAAATCATCCCCTTCTTTCCAGTAGGTTTCTTGTTTCTTACCTGTTCTTTGCATGCACTGCTCCCTCTGCTTGGAATTCTTGCTAATCTACTATCACTTGTTCTTTAAAGTTTTTCTTCCATTATTTAGGGTTTTGTTGTCGTTTGTTTGAGATGGTTTCATGGTATTGAGGATTGTCTTGAACTTTGTCTCTCCACCATTTGAGGGTTGGGGTTGCAGGTACACACTGCCACAACCAATTCTCAAGTGTAGTTTGTGAATGACCTCCATTGAAGCTTTCCCGGGCTCCTCCCGGGCTCTGGTCCCCCTTCTGCTGCAATATTTGTCACATCACCCTCTGTGGCCAGGAGCACCCTGGTCACAGACTGATGTTATCCATTTCTGGCCCTAAGGCTCAGTACTTCAATAGGTTTCTGAGAGGGCTTATTGAATAAGTGATCAGAGAGAGGCCTGAGGAGCCCTGCCCTCAGTTCTAGACTTCTTGGGATTTTGGAAGTGGGCAACAGAATATGGAGGAGGTAGCAGTTCTTGGCCACCTAGGTCTGGTCTCTGTCTCTGAGGAGTCAGGGAACTTCCAGCCACAGGACTGAAACAATGACTTGATGCGATATTTAAGTGCTAGGTGATAGAATTAAGCCTTGACAACCTAACTCTCTGCCTGAGTGGGCTTCATTCTTCTGGTTTTAGGCATTTGAGGTCTGGCCAAGCCTGGCTATACCTTTTCTCCCTGATGGTAGCAAGCCTTGATGTTCACTTAGGACTTTGGGCCTCCCATCACGTTTTCTCTGTCTCTTGTGCCATGGACGTCAGTTCAGTTTGGCAGAAGTATTCATTTTCCCCACATGAGCTATTTTCATGTGCCTCTGTTCTGACAGGTGACAGTCCAGTATTGCAGGCTTTGGGGGACCTGTTTGAAGTTTAATGATAAGGACACAGAGACATCTGTATGAGGCTGATGGCCTGTTTGCTGAGGAAGTCTCCCAGCTAGCCCTTCTAACTTAATCTCCGCCATTGCCTCCCTCCATGTAGCTTTGTCTTTACTCTGTCTCCCTGCTTGTTCCCTTCTCTGCTTCTTTTTCTCCCCAAGTCTCTCTGCTTCTGTCTTTCTCTTGGTCCTTCCACCCCAGCCCCCACCGCCCCTCTTTGGTATGCGCAACGCCACACCCCTTCCACAGTTGGCACTGGGGGTGTGTGGCCATCACAAGGCACCTACAGGCATTTACGTATCCTGCTAGCCTGGCGCCGCAGCAATTAACGACGACAATGTGGGACACACTTTCACCGTCAGCTGAGGAGATGTGTATGTTATCCCAACAGCCCAGGATCCCTGCAGAGTCAAACCCAGACTGCTGTCAGGCATGGTGGTTCACATCTATAATCCCAGTACTCAGCAGGCTCTGGAAGAAAAATTGCCACAAGTTAGAGTCCATCCTGGTCTATATAGTGAGACTCAGTCTCTAGAAATTCAACAAGAACAACAACAAAAGTCTGGATTTCCAGTTAAGTCCCAGAGCTTTCCTCCCCTACTACAATCCCTCCACATAGTCTCCGCATCCTGGCCTAGGGTCGAGGTGAGAATGCACACTTTGGCAAAACTGCCAAGGGGACAGATTCACTACTGGTGACACTTCCTCAAGTCACCCACAGAATCTGGTGTATTGGTTCTGTTGGCTGGGTACTTGGATAGACTCCTCCTACAGTCTGTCCTAACAGAACTGTTGCTGCCCGATTGAAGCCGCTTTCATCTCTCCCGTTGGTGCTGCAATTGCGTGTTCCTTACAGGTCTTGCTAGTGTCAGCGACTGGCATTTCCAGAAACACGTCTGGACTCTTGAGGGCCAGCCTCTGCCTTTCCTCCTCCCTCTCTGGAGGTGCCTCGCCCACAGTGCTTTCTCTTTCGTACACACATAGAGCTCATTCTCTGCCTTTGACGCTTGCTTTTGCTTTTGCTCTACATAGCTCACATCCAGCCTTGAGGAGACCTTGCCAGACCACCCAACCCAAGGCCAAGCACAGCCTCCAGCCTATTTCCCTGTTTCAGATTCCTTGCTTTCTAGAATGTCGTACCTGATTGCCTGGTCCGTCCTGGTTGGGGGGGAATTTAAGAGCCTGACTCCAGCCTGCTCGTTTCCGTATCCCCAGCACCCAGGTCAGTGCTTGGCACCTGGTAAGCACTCAGTAAATACTTGATGAGTGCCTGCTATGTGCCAAGGCATTGTGCTGAGGTTTTGGGGGGATTTAGAGTGGAGGTAATAGAAGCAAAACCAGAACGAAATGCAGGGTGGTCAAGGGGGAACTGAGCAGAGGGGCAAAGAGGAACAAAAGCAGCCCAGGTACAGACACTGTGCGGTAACCTTGTTCAGTATGACTCCATTCGTGTTTCCAAGGGAGGAGGAATGGATGACAAGAAATGGGGACTGAACTGAGAATGGCGGTACGCTGGCAAGGGGAAGGATTGTGGCTTTTCTAGGCATCAGGACCCCCGCTGGCTCCTGCTTAGTTATCACTGACCAGGGAGGAAACTAGGAATGGGTAAGAGGCAAGGCGGCCCAAGACAGGCGGCTGAGGACTACCATTTGAAGAGCATTGTGTGCCAGTCTGTGAAGGGAAAGTCACAGATGGTGCCTTTTGGGGTTTGCTGAAACCTCTTCGCTCAGTAAGGAGACTGGCACACACAGGCAGTGGCCTCTCGAGATCTGACTGGCTCTGGACTATGGCCTGGGTAGTGGAGCCTTAGGCACTGGAAGTGGTTGGGGCTGTGGGCAGAGCCATGCTGCAGGGAGCTCTGGGCTCTGAGCTGGCCCTTGGCCTCTCTTCAGTTGGTGGCAGCCAGAACCTTCGCTTCTACTGGAAGGAGTTTGTGAATGAGGTGGACCTGCTGGTGTTCATGGTGGACTCGGCTGATCGGCTAAGGTTGCCCTGGGCTCGGCAGGAGCTGCAGAAACTGCTGGACAAGGACCCTGATCTGCCTGTCATTGTAGTGGCCAACAAGCAGGTGAGAACTCTGGGAGGTGGGCTGCAGCCCAGGCATGGTGAGGGCTACATAGAAGGATTGGAGCCTCTTTGTCTCCCTGCCTTTCGTTGCCCTCAAGAGATGCAAGAAAGTTATTAAGTTCTTACTGTTTGCCAGGTGCAGTTGTACATTCTTTCTCTTTCTTTCTGAATTTTCCAAGCGCATCTTGAGCTCTCTCACACTTACACTACGCAGCCTAGACTGACCTGGGACTTCGAGGTGCTAGGATTGTAGCTGTGCAGCACCACCCTGCCTCGAATGACATTGATCCTGTCCTTGTCCAAGCTCTAGAACACTGTTTCCGCTTTACAGCTGGGGACTCCACAGCTCACGGGATTTGTGCTCTCCCGCAGGGCACACAGGGCAGTGGGGCTGGGTGCCTGCTTCGGACCACCCTGCCCTGCACTAGGCTGAGGAGGGACGAGTGGAGTACATTAGCGACAGTATTATGAGCACGGTGTGAGCATCCGACAGCCACCCACCCTTCAGGCCTCTATCCCCGTGACAGGCTCTGTGGTCCCCAAATGCCTGAGAGTTCACACTGTCCCAGAGTTTGTGTTGTTTGGACGGAGTGGAACTCTGGACAGGTTGCTTGTTCACTACCTCCCTGGGTGCAGAGGGCTGTCTTGGGCCTGCAGCCCTCAGGTGGCACTTACGTGCCACCAACCCCAGGGCAGCTGCCACTACACAGAGCTGTTTTCCTAGGGCGTGTGCCCATGCTTTCTTTTTCTTTATAGATTTATTTCTTATTTACATAGCATTCTGTCTGCATGTGCCTGTGAACCAGAAGAGGGCACCAGATCTCACTATAGATGGTTGTGAGCCATCATGTGGTTGCTGGGAATTGAACTCAGGACCTTTGGAAAAACAGACAGTGCTTGTAACCTCTGAGCCATCTCTCCAGCCTGTGCCCATATTTCTAACTTGTCTCTTTGACCTTAGATTTGTCCTGCCTGTCAGGAGATACTTGATAACTATTTATAAATATGGCTATCGATGGGTGGTGGTAGTGCACACCTTTAGGCCTAGCACTTGGGAGGCAGAGGCAGGTCAATCTCTATGATTTTGGGGCCAGCTGAGTCTACAGAGTGAGTTCCAGAACAGCTATGGCTACAAACATACATACACACACACACACACACACACACACACACACACACACACACACACA